CTTAGCACGGTGTAGTATCTATGTTTCCACGATGCAGGTTTCCCTCGATGCCATGTTCACTCACTCTTTGCTACGTCAATATCCTTTGTGCATGAAAACACTTCCTCCAGCTCTCAACAGGGCCTGCTGTATCTTCCTGAGAAACCAATAATTTGTTCAAAATGTGGCCTATTTTGGAGATTTTTTCACACAGATCCGTTAACACAACCTCTCACTATGGTAAACATTCTTATAGCACAAGACAAGGTTGCTGGCTTCCTTCACAAGTTCCAGATTCTCCAATGGAGATTTCAAGTTATAATGTCTCCATGTGCTCAGAATGAACAATGCTACATGAGGTGACCAAATAAAGTGGTTATTTGCTGTTTTCAGCTGTTGCTTTACATGACACAATCCATCAGTAGATCCCATTATGAGATGAATGCATCATTTGTGATATATTATTTTCAGTGAAGGAAGAAGTCAAAGTAGAGTTCTTTCATTTGTGGAATAAAATATGTTGAAAACAGACTTTCAGGATTCTAAGCTTTTGATGAAAAGCTGGAGGTAAATATTCAGTTCTCTCTAGCAAAGCTGTTAAAGTTCTCATCCCATTTGCCACCTTGCTGTGAATCTTGCTTGTCTTCAGTGACCACCATTAAAATCAAGGCAACAAACAGATAGGTACTTACTCGTGACCTGTGAGATGTTCATCCCATAGCTCATAACGAAAAAATTAGTAAGAGCCACACCATACAAAGAGAATATCCTAAAAATGTTTTACAGGTGGCACTGGTCACCGGATAAAATAACAAAATGTTATAAAAATGTCTCGGATACATGCTGGAGATGTAATAATAACGTAGGAACATACTATCATATCTGGTGGAGGTGTGACAAAATAGTAAAATTTTGGAAAATGGTAAAATATTTGATAAAAGAAATTGTAGGAATAGATCTGCAGCTTAAACCGGAAAGTTACTTGCTTAATATCTTGCCAGATATAGTAAATAGAGATGATAAATGTATTGTGTTATATATCCTCATGTTAAGCAGAATTCTGATAGCGAAAAAATGGAAATCAGATTTACTACCTAAAAAAGAAGAAATAATGGAAAAAATATTCGAAATAGCAGAAATGGACAGATTAAATATGATATTAGCAGAGAGAGATGATAACGCTTATAAGAAAAGATGGTTTAAAGTGTATAAATGGTTTGAAAAAAATGTAGAATGAACACTCCGAAACTGATTTGTACAATGGGAATGTACTTGGATTTTTATTTTTTGTTTGTTTGTTTGTTGGAAAAAGTATAAATAAATTCTTAAAAAAAAAAAAAAAAAAAAAGCACCACCCACTGATGTAAGAGGGCCTCTTGTGTGAGAGGAAGGCACCACTGTTGGCAGAACTGATCCATGAATCTAGTGCATGTCAGATGAGACGTAACAGAGCACTAACTGGCAACAGCGATTGTTAAATGTAAAACAAGATTAAAGAATTGAATTTAGGAGCTTCTGTAGGTGTATGCAAATCATGTGCTCAGTAACAGAGCTTTAATTCGCATAGAAATTTTCACAGGGAAATAACTTCTAGACAGTTCATTCTGAGATTGCACTAGAAGGACACTGAGCTTAGTAATAGTACAGTTCTAAGCCTCCTGCCCAGGAAGTAATCCCCACTGAAGAGACCTAAGTAGAATTCTGAGTAGACTTGCTTAGGATGGCACTTGATTTTCACATGAAGCACAGACTGATCTCAAAAATCATGTACTCGTCTAAGCTCTCTGTTTGCATGTGGGGAGACCAAAACTTGGAGGCCTTTGGTCATGTCATCAGCGCTGAAATTAAACATCCAGGAGCCACAAGCACATGATAGTTGTGGGAGTCAAGGTCTGCAGTTGGAGGGGGAATTGCTGAAACTGCCCCCTGCCCACACTTCAACAGACGTTTCCCATTGGATCCAACTCCTTGCCCCCAAATAACACAACCACACCACCCTGTAAGTGACCACTGTCTGGCAGCCGCTATACTGCATGGGCATGGGCTCAGAAAGTCTGAACACAATGCATTTCCCACTGGCAGGATATCTGGATTACACTTTAGCATGTGTTTATTTATTTAAAACATTTCTATGCCACCTTTCCACTCAAAACAGACTACCCAAAGGGGCAAACATCAAAACATTTCAACATTAAAACAGCATTTAAAATAAAGTATATATCAAATAAACAATACAATAAAAACCCATAAACACACATAATACAATAAGGTATGAAGGCCAACAGCAGTTACTGGGATACAGTCTTTTTGGAAAGTTGATACTGGGGATTCTGCCAAGCAGGAAGTCCTGAAATAAAGTGTGTCTTGCATTAGAATTGCATTATGGTTCTTAAGGAAAGTGAATGCATCCATGCAAGACTTGCTGAGGTCCAGAGATCCATGTCAAGATTCTGGCAGTTGCATCAGATGCTCTCTTTCCTTCAGTTTTTTATTTATGCCCCCGCCACCACTATTTTAGAAATTCTTTCCAGCTTGTCACACTCCCTAGACATGTACCACAGGGAAGGGATTTTTGCTGTAGTTCATGCCTTTTGCAGCTGATTTAATATGAGTTTTCCCCAACAACCAATAAAGGATGTCCAAAGTTAGCACACAGACAGTCAATTAATGAATATGCTGTGATCTCTCCTATCATATTGTCTTTGTACAAAAGAAATCTAATATTGTTCCAAAGCAAGCACTACATACAGCATACAAGCCTATGTTTCCAATTTCTGTTTAAAGAGAGCTTCTAAATGTTTGTTTTCACTTTTGAGGTACAAATAAACACTCTCCTGGGTTGGACTGTGTGTGTGCCTATGTGTGTGTGTGTGTTCGAGAGAGAATGCGAGCATGAGTGTGTGTGGTGGACAGAGCATGTTGGAGTGTGTATAGTCTCGCACATGTATATGTAAAACACACATGCACAGGGGTGAAATCTGCAAGGACTTGTGAGGAGAAAGCTCACCCCACCGCCCCCTTTTCCACACACTCTCTGCTTCTCTCACCTTGCTTCTGCTTCTCTCCATTTCCTCCAGTTCCCATCACTTTCTTGCTGCCCCCATCCCCCCCCGCAACTCCCCCCACACTTCTGTCTACTGTAACTGCTTCATTCCCCCCCTCATGGCCACCACTTTTCCTCCCTCACAGCCCACACAGCCCTTTCCCTCTTGTAGCTTGTCAAAGCCTGCCCCCAGCCCCCTTTCTTATCTCCAGCTCTGGTATCCTATGACCTTCTAGTGAGGCCATGAAACATCCGAGCCATTTTGGGCTGCTACAATAAACAAAATGCCACCTCATCCCCCTCCCTCCCTCTCCCCCCCCCCCCCCCTCTGTCTCTCTCCTTCTTTTTTGTAGAAAAAGCCCAGCAGGAACTCATTAGCATAATAGGCCACACCCAACAGCAGAAACTCATTAGCATATTAGGCCACACCCCTGATAGCACAGCTCATTGGCATATTAGGCCACACACCCCCATGTTACCAGAAGTGTGGTCATCCAGTCACACCCACCTGTTGCTTCTTATTCTATTTACTTTGTTGTCAAAACCCAGGGCTTTTTTTTGTAGCAGGAACTCCTTTGCATGTTAGGCCACACATCCCTAATGTAGCCAATCCTAATGAGTTTCTGCTGTTAGGTGTGGTCTATTATGCTAATGAGTTCCTGCTGGGCATGGCCAACTCAGGAGCCAGCCGGAACTCCGTTCCTGTACGTTCCTGCCCAACAATAGCCCTGTCTGCACATACCCAGACATCTTTTTAAAAATCTTTTCCAGGGTTTTTACCTCCCCTCCCTTTCTTAGGTTTCATATTTTTCTGTCACAATGCAGAATGATGCTCTCTTCTGAGCCATCCCCACTTTGACCAGCAGAGCCCGAGCACGTGGCACTTACTTCCGCAAGTTTGTCCACCCCACTTGCTGTTCTCGCTAGCTTTACGAGGTCCTCTTGCATCTTATCCACCCACAGCTTGATCCTGCAGGAAATATTACAAAGGAAGGAAAAGGAGAAAAGAAACGTCCTATCAGATCAATAGCAAAGAGCAAGGAAGATCACAAGCACAAATGCGGGCTGACAGATCATCTTCCAGGAGGAAGATTGATGCTGAAGTCCCTTTGATATGGCTGTGAAGCTGCTTTAGACGTCGTTTCCCACCCCCATTTCCTCTCCCTCTCCCACACTCAAGTTCTGTATCTTGCATTTAGCACAGCTAGGAAGCACATGCAATTGTCTAGCATCGAGCAAGAAAATTGAATACCACAAAGTATCTGAAAATATCACACTGTTCCCAAATCTTTGGGCAGAGTTCTGAACCACACAGAACACATCACTTCTGACCTTCACAGAAGTGTTAAAAGAATGCTTAACAGTGATACTATTTTCTTGGGTTGATTACAGGGTAGTTGTTTCCCCAAAAGCATTCCCCTAAAAAAAGAAGCATGAACCTCACATAATACTGGGATTTTTTTCTCCTTTCACCCAAAGGAGCTAAGAAGCAGTTTACTGAGATAAGCTTGATATGCCATATGCCATATTTCGTGCGTGTAAAAATGGACTTGCTAGATGAGACCAAAGATCTATCTAGTCCAGAATTCTGCCTCCGAAAAATGCCAACCAAATGGAAAACACCCAGGGCACAACATTAACAGGCATGCCATGTGCTTTACTCCACCCCCACCCCAGGATATGTACCCTGCCTGAATAAGGAACTTCGCTTGTCATGGTTAATACACATCTTTCATGAATGTGACCAACCATTCTTAAAAATAACCCTAGGCAACTGGCTACGACTAGAAATGGTATTTTTAAAATTATTCATTTTCCACATTTATATCCCGCCCATTCTGTGAACAGTCTCAGGGCAGGTTACATCATTTCAATAAATACAATAAAATTTAAAACACATTATAAATATATAAAATCAGTAGTCACAGCTTACTGTTGGAAGATTCCAGCCCGCTGATGTAAATACATATGGCCGGTTGTCAGTGGGTGAGTGACAGCAACCTCGGGGAGGCCATGTGTGGATGCCTGCTGCCTGCTGCCTCAGCCAAAGGCCTGGTGGAACAGCTCCATCTTGCAGGCCCTGCAGGATTGAAAAAGATCCCGCAGGGCCCTGATCTCAATAGGGAGCATGTTCCACCAGGTAGGGGCCAGGGCAGAAAAAGACCTGGCCCTAGTCGAGGCTAAGCGGACGTCCTTTGGGCCAGGGACCACCAGGAGATGTTGACTGTCAAGAGCTTAAAGCTCTTCAAGGCATATATGAGTACAGGCGGTCCCTTAGGTATGTTGGTCCCAGGCCAGATAAGGCTTTTAAGGATATTACCAACACTGTGAAGTGGATCTGGCACTCGACTGGAAGGAGACTCGCGGTCGGCAGCATCCATCATTTCAGTGGACACGCTGCACAGACTTTGCCCTAATGAGGGACTCCACTTACGCCCCTCGCCTTTAAGTTTGGTGGAATTTCAAAGGAACCCAGTCCCAATACGGGGCGTGGGGACCTTCCGGGTGCAGTACCAGGGTTTTGAGGGATTTCTGGACTTGATTGTGGTAGAGGGGAACCTTGTTAGTCTCTTGGGTGGGCCTGGTTTGGGGGCCTGGTTTGGGGCATTGGGTATCCAAATTGGGGGGGGGGGTGAATAAATGTAGAATGCTGGACTTTGCGAAGGTTTCCGGGGAGTTCCCCGCCGTTTTTGATGGGGCTTTAGGGTGTTATAAGGGCCCCCCAGTTTCTTTGCAACTAAACCCTACACTGGCCCCCATTCGATTGAGGTTCCGCACAGCTCCGCTCACTCTCAGGCCCAAAATTGATGCGGAACTGGACTGTTTGGTGGCGCAGGGGGTCCTGGAACCAGTATCACACACCATCTGGGAAACGCCTTGTCACCCCTGTTAAGCCCAATGGCGATATCCACATCTGCATGGACTACAAATGTACACTAAATAAGGCCCTCCACGACCACTCCTACCCGGTCCCGGTCGTAAGTCATGTCCTGGCTTCTTTGGTGGGGGCTAAGATTTTCGGCAATCTCAATCTGGTGCAGGCCTATCAACAATTGCCGGTGGATGAGGCCACGGCCCAAACGATAGTTACGCACAGGGGGGCTTTTAAGGTAAAGAGGCTACAGTTCGGCGTGAGTGTGGGCCCCGGGATCTTTCAACAATTAATGATCTTCTTGTTAAAAGGGATCCCTGGAGTGACGCCATTCTTTGACGACACCCTCATCACCGCAGCGACCCCGGACGACTTCGCCTCCCGCCTCCGCACCCTCCTGCAACGTTTCAACTTGGCTGGCCTCAAAGTGAAATGGGAGAAATGTCTCCTTGGGGTTCTGGAAGTGGACTTTTTGGGGTTCTGAGTCAACATGGCCGGCCCTCATCCAGCTAAGGACAAGGTGAAGGCCATCATGGAGGCCCCAGCAGCCACTTGCAAAGCAGAGCTGCAGGCATTTTGGGACTAATAAACTTCTATTACGCCTTTCTACCGCACAAGGCTGCAGTAGCAGAGCCCCTCCACCACCTCCTGGACAAGTCAGCTCCTTGGTCCTGGGGCCCGAAAGAAGCAGCGGCATTCAAGGGGGTCAAGGCACTCTTAAATTTGAACAACGTGCTGGCACATTTCAATGAATCCCTGCCAGTGGTCCTTGCGTGTGATGCCTCCCCCTATGGCGTCAGCACGGTCCTGGGCCACATCTTCCCTGACGTCCGCGAGGTTCCCGTGGCCTATTACTCCAGGACCTTAACGCCCGCCGAGCACAATTACGCACAAATCGACAGGGAGGGCTTGGCGATCGTGACGGGGGTCAAGAAGTTTCATAACTTCATTTACGGGTGCCCCTTCACGATTGCAACAGACCACAAGCCCCTCCTTGGCCTCTTTGCTGTGGATAAGCAGACACCCCAAGTTCTGTCGCCCCGCGTCCTCAGATGGTCCCTATTCCTGGCTGGCTACCAGTACTGCCTGGAACACCACCTGGGCAAGGCGATGGGACATGCCGACGCCCTGAGCCGGCTGCGACTGCCCTCCACAGAAACTGCTCCTGCACCTGGGGTCCTGCTACTCAAAGGTCTTCCAGAGCCTCCTCTGCAAGCTGCCGATGTCGCTGCACATTCAGCCCGTGGCCCTATCCTCTCCCGGGTCTTGGGCTGTGTGGTGAGGGGTTGGTCAACTACCTCCCCGGGGCCCAAGTTCACGGCTTTCAGCACCCAGAAAGATGAACTATCAGCCCTAAAAGGGTGTCTTTTGTGGGGGGACCGGATTGTGGTTCCCGGTGCCCTGAGGCAATGGGTCCTCATGGCACTCCACGAGGCACATCCAGGCATCGTAAAGATGAAGACACTGGCCCGGAGCTATGTGTGGTGGCCGGGGATTGACGCCGAGATCGAGTCATGGATCCGGAGGTGCCAAACCTGCCAGGAAGTATGGCCACACCCACCAAGCACACCAGCCCAGTCTTGGGAGTCAACCCGCAAACCATGGTCCCGGCTTCACATCGATTTTGCCGGACCATTCCATGAACTGTTGTTCTTAGTTATGGTTGGCTCCTACTCAAAGTGGCTGGAGATCAATCCAGTGTCTACCACCTCCACGAAGGCTGTAATCCGGTCCCTTTGCCGGATCTTCACTACGCACGGGCTGCCGGACATGATAGTCTCCGACAATGGGACAGCCTTCACGTTGACGGAGTTCCAGGACTTTCTCTAGAGGAACCTGATATGGCACGTCCGATCCACACCTTTCCACCCCGCGACCAACGGCCAGGCAGAGAGGATGGTGTGTACCATGAAGGAAGCCCTCAGCAGGATCATGGACGGGGACTGGGAGTTCCGGCTAGCCCGCCTCCTCCTGACCCAGAGAACAACAACTAACCCTGTCACTGGCCACAGCCCCGCAGAATTGTTAATGGGCCGGTACCCCAAGACCTTGTTGGATCGGCCACACACAGACCGAGCACCGGACTCAAAGAGGTTGATAGAACAGTGCAAGGCTCCGAGAGGGTTCTTCCCGGGGGACCCAGTGTTCATCTGGAACGATGGAACTGGACCCCCCTGGATCACAGGCCGAGTTAACATCTAACAGGTCAGACAGGATATCTGCTGGTGTGTTAGACAGTTGTACACCAGCCAGATAGCCAAACTCTCTTCAACATCACATGCTAGACCTACACGTTCAATGCCGGAGATTGTTTGGGGTGGGGAGCAACCTGAAAGAATAAAATTCATGGATGAGCAAAGCCACGCTCCCCCCCCCCCCCCGCTCTCTATACATCCACGAGTGGTGAAACACCGAGAACCCCCAGTGGAGTGACATTTTCACCATCCCTCACCCAGGTCTCGGTCACACAAGCCAGGTCTACCCGTGACTCCATGAGATAATCACGGAGCACATCGATCTTATCATTGATAGACCTGGCATTGAATAACACCAGTGTTGGTGAAGAGTAAGTTTTCCTAGCCCCACAGTCAACATCCCTCAGAATGGGATGTAAGTGGGAAGAAGTCCGAGCATTTCTGTATCTCTGATTTCTTCCATTCCAATTAAAAGAAGAACACCTATACTCACTGCTATATCTCCCCTGCCCCATAATCACTGGTATCCCTGACCCTTGCATGGCCCCCCTTCATTGGTGCTGTCAACCCCAACACTCTCCAACAACCAGCAGAGGCTATAACTATCCAAATTATAAAAGCTACCCAGTTATCACCGACCCTCTGTATAAACTAGATACCCCATTTACCTTCTCCAACTATTTAATTTGCTATCTAATTTACCCACCCTATTAAAGCAATAACCAATTGGGTTGACTAACTAAACTAAATTAAATTAGCTGCATGCTAATTATGTGTTGCATGGAGAAATACTTTCTTTTTTCTTTCCTAAACTTACTAAACAATCTCATTGGGTAACTTTGATTTCTTGTACTGAGAAAGATTCAGCTTTTCTCACACATCATTTATAGAGGGCATGTTAAA